AACAAAAAAAAAAAAAACAAAAAGATCTCTGGCACGGTGTTCTTCGGTTCTTCATGAAAAATGACATAAATAAGTGAGAATTGATGTTATGAAAGAAATCCAACTGCAACAAACTAAATTTAACTCCAAATATATTTTGGGATGTTACAGAGGAAATAAGTTGTCCTAAATGCAAAATGATCTAAACACCAAGAAAATGCACAACTCACATCTTAGTTTACCAGTGGAGGAATGAAGATCCAATCAATGGTAAGAACACAAACATTACATCAGTTGCTGCAAGTATACAGATCCTACTATAACTTTCCATGATTTTTCCTCAGATCAAGGAACTCGAAGATATCAGCATGCCATGGCTCCAAATACACAGCAAAAGCACCTAATCTCATCATAGAAAGGAAAACAAAATAAAAATAGTGTATATGCAAAGCATTTACTATAATAAAACATAACAAGGCATAACAGCAGACCTTTCCTCTTGCCACCCCCCTGATCCACATATCGAACTGTATCATTGAACACTCTTAGCATTGGAACAATGGTTGTCAAATAGGGGCTTCATATAGGACAAAAGAATGTATTTTTAGTGGGGATTAAAATCAAAATTTTAGTAGATTTTGATAGAAGTTGATAAAATGTGTAGTTAAAAAATTATAGGCCACATGAAAAGTATGGTTAAAATTAATTGTTAACTTTGACTTTGATTAAAGTCTTGATTTTAATTTATACCAAACGGGGTATGAATGGTTTAGCTTTCGTTTCGATATAACTTATCAATTCAATCAAAATCCAACATTAGTTTTAATTATGCATTAATAACTTTACTCATTATTATCCACACATCTAGTTAAATTCACTACTATTTATTTCACAGTTTTGTATTTATAAGTGATTTATAAATTTTCCAAATGGAGATTTATATATTGTAAGATAATCTTTTAAAAACCCAAATGTACAAATATTATTTTATTAAAAAATGTGTGATTAAAAATAGAGAGAGAAAAATACAATTTGAAAATAATAAGGACCAAACAAGGGTTTACATAGATAGAAAATAAGTTATAGACAATTAAATTACCTAAAATTTATTTGCATATTGAGAAACACGAGATTCGACCCTACTACACCTAGAGGGGGGTGATTAGGTGTAAATGTGAATTAAAATTTAATTAACATGCAACAAGTCACAAGTTAATTATGTTTAGGTGATTAGTCAAATAATTCAATTTAACCTATCTTGAAATACCGCAGTAATCCCAAAGCAGTAAATAAAGCAGTAAACAATACCA